TATATATATTACACAAAATTCTGAGTGGTTGTGGTCAAGAGTCACAAAATAAAGTCAAAGCTATGACATGCGTTGCAGTTATGCAAAGTCATGTGTAATTCTGTAGAATTTTATTTTTAATATTTGACCAATAAGGCTAAAACGCCATCAATTTTAAATAAGCTGATTTTACTGGCATTTAAAACTATAGAATTTAAGCCCACAAACAAAATGCCCCCAAGAAATGCACCTTTTTGGTACACTGGTTGCAGAAACAAGTCAAAATGTCAGTTCTAAGCGAGTCAGATGTTTTCTACAAATACAGACCAAAATAGCAAAATGCAGCAATTATGTACAGAAACATTAAAAAGAGACCCAGAGAGACTGAAATTCGACAAAAATGATATACAAAGTTAAGACAGTTAGCACAAAATATAAAATAAATGCTGTCAGGACACAAACCTTGATCAAATGAGATGTAACAGATCACAAAGCATGCATCGTGCCAAGGTGGACAACAATAACCATGATGAGAAATCACATAAATGCATAAAATGAGGACAGTGACACAAAAAATTATTGTAACAACCAAAATATGCACAAAATATTAAATAGTAAGCGAACAAATTCATAAAGTGAGTGAAAACGTATGTAATGCTTTCTGCTGAAATGAAGAGGAAATAAAACTATTACAACAGCGCCCTCTTGTGGCCAAAACAGACCATCACAGCAGTTGCCCTCCCTGACCGCTAGGCGCCGCTGTGGAATGTTCAGCACCTGAAATCAAGTGAACGTCTTCCTGAATGTTTTAGTTTGTGTCTAGTTTCTGCTTGTCACCGCGGCGCATAAACACCTACACACGGAACCGGGCCACCGGACCTCACGAACTGCTTTTTTTTTTTTTCCCGTTTTTGATATTATATTAACGTGAATGGGAAGGCCTGCGTGATCGTTCCGTTGCAGGAGCTTGAAAAAAGAAGTCAGGGTTTCTTCACTGCGAGGAAGGACCGTCGACTACGACCAGTGATGGCAGCGGCGACCGTGGTGGAAGCTGATGCGGCGACAAGCGAAGGCGCTGCGGCTTTCTCCGGTGTCCAGGGCCGGGGCTGGGAGGACTCCCAGCTCCGACCGTACCCGTTCCCCAGCAAACCCATCCCCAGGCTTTCTCACACAGACCCCAGGGCAGAGATGCTAATAAACAACGAGGTAAACTCAGCTGCAGAGTTCGCTTGCTGAAACTTTTTTCTATATTTTAATTTTAAAATAAACAAACCTGGCGTACAGGGTCAAAGTAGAAACAGATAAACTCAAGCATTTTTATGCACTTTATGGTACACAAAAAGTGTGGTCATATTTTCATGCATAACACGTTTGAATAAAATATAATGTAGTTCGTTTTATTTTGAGTAGTCTGGTTTAAAGCATCTGCTAACTCTATTTTAGCTCACACACACACACACACAAAAAAAACATAAAATAATTGCATAAAGCAGGTAGTGGTGGCACATCATAAATGACTTTACTCTGATTTTACCAAAACAAAAGAAATATGTATCCTTGATTTAGAACAGTAGATCAATAAATACTTCCACAATATACAAACTGGTTGTCTTCCAAAATCGTTCAAACTTTTCCCCAGACTCTACACTTATGAAGAACTGATCACAAGTAGCATTTGTTCACACAACTGCATTGTTGTTTGTATTTTTAAATGAAACTACACTCAGTTACACGTCTAAAAAGAGCACACTTGTGCAGATTGGTCTTAAAACATCTTTGCCAAGTTCACCTGCCTTATTTAGGCCACAGCTGAGAACATTGTTGTTTTAACGCAACAAGAAAGTTAGAAATCACATTTATAACTATGCCTTAGCAATGCATTCTTTAACTTAAACTTTTACCTCTTGACATTTAACTTGGTACGTTTCTTTTATGTTGGCTTTATTTTAACCACCTGAACCAATGTATTTAGTCAAAGGATTGACCTTTACGGTGCTGCAGTATTTTACCATTTCACCGTGAGGAATGTGCATTAATGGCGAGTTGTTTTTATTTTTTCTTATTCAAATGAATAGACCAAAACATAGTTTGTAACACGACAAATTCAACTCTACGGTCTGCATCGAGTCCTCAAAGTGGACCAGGGTTGGACACTAACCTACAATAACTTGCAGCTCTTGAGGATTGTTTTACAAGAATAGAAATAACTCATTTCCACGACCTTGAAAAGTGACAGAAGTGAACCAGAGTGTCCTAAACTGGAGCTGGCCTAATTTGAGCTTTGCCTGTGCTGTTTTTTGCAGCTGATCGAGTTTTTGTTGCAAAATCTGTGATGTGAAATGGTTTCAGATTTGAAGGTCTGTTTCCATGAAGTAATACTGTGGTCAGAGAGTAAATAAATACAAACTACAAGTAACAGAATAAGGCTTTTGTGTTGGAGATGGTTGTTAATAATCTTGTTGAGGTACACAGATTTCAGACATGTAAAACTGTTCCAGTGCATGGATGTTTTCAGTAATGCACGAGATTAAAAACAAAAATATACACATATGAATACATAACGATGGTTATGCTAACAATTAACCGCACAGTTAGCGGGTTTACTTTGCGTCTTATTAGTAGAGCTGGTGTCTCTGCGGTCAAAAAGACAAACGTGTGGACAGACCGAAACCAGAAACGGCCCGTTTAAAACGCCCTCCGACAACTTCGCGGGTTCCTTTTTTTTTCTTTCTATTTTAATCACTTCAGCTCGTTTCCGGCGTCCTCCGGCGAAAGTGAAACCGAGGGGAGGAGAGGTGCAGCCGGGCAGCGAGAGCGCGCGCCCGGCGGGCTACGTTCTGTTCGTCACGTAGGCCTCGGAGCTCGTGAGTGGTGGGGGTTGCCATGGTCACAGCTCGTGTGTTTGGGGTGCGCGTGCATGTGCCGGTGTTGTGCCAGGGTTAGTGATGGGGGATTCGTGCCACCCTTCAGCAGCGTCGAGAGCGTGCACAAATTCATCATTAAACATAGATGTCATGGCAAAGTAGCACCAAGAACACATTTTAATTACTTGCGTCATTGTTTTTGTAACAATTGAGCGTTGTGCAAAAATAAATAACTAAACAAATGCCTTTTATTGTTTTTGAAGAATCCATGTCTTTTTGTGAATTTAATAAAGAAAGATGGAATATCTCAAAGCTTATTTTTGCTTACAAAGTTTTGTGAATTCTCACAGTAATAGATGTCTGAACCTTTATGATAAATATTACCCTTTAAACTTTTTATACAACTGAATAAAAATCTATTTAATAACAAAAGTTAAAAAAAGCATTATAAACATTAACTTTTGCTATATGATTATGCTGAAATTTTTTTCACTTGTTTCAGGAACCCGTGGTTTTAACGGACACAAACCTCGTGTATCCAGCTCTCAAATGGGACATCCCGTACCTCCTGGAGAACATCGGGAGCGGGGACTTCTCTGTTTACATGTCAGAAAACCACAAATTCCTCTATTACGACGAGAAGAAAATGTCCAACTTTGAGAACTTTGTCCCCAAGTCTCGACGGATGGAAATGAAATTCTCTGAATTTGTGGATAAAATGCAGAAAACGGAGGAAATGGGGGGACAAGAGCGGTAAGAATCAATGAATGTGGGGTAACTTTTTTGTTTGTTACTTCTGTTAATATTTAGGTTGTTTTTAAATTGGGGGAAAGTAAAAAGTTAGAGTAATTTACCCCAAAATTAACTTTTTTTAGCTGATAAACTGTCTAGAATGTGTCTATACACTTTAAGAACAAGACGTGGCTGTGATGCAGCTTGACTAAGCATTTTTGCTGGAGTTTTATAAGAGAAGCCTATTTATACTATATGACCTAACTTGATCTGAAAACAGGGACACGGATTCAGTTACTGGTTAAGACTTGTAGACCCCCACAGTGGCAGATAGTTATTTAAATTTACACATCTACTTCTGTAATGTCACTTTTTTTCATGGTTTGTAAACTAATTATTAAACAAAGTATTCTCCTGGCCATGTATTCATAGCACTTCAACATAACCCACATCAGTAATTGTTTTCAGCTTTTAGTTTGTAAAATGACACGACTCATTTAAAGCACGTCTCTTTTCTCGTTCGTTTCAAGAGTCTATTTGCAGCAGACACTGAATGACACCGTAGGAAAGAAGATTGTTGTTGACTTTCTTGGTTTTAACTGGAACTGGATCAACAAGCAGCAAGCCAAGAGGAACTGGGGACCGCTGACATCTAACCTGCTGCTGGTCGGCATGGAGGGTGAGGTCCTCTGTGTTCTTCTGTCAGCCCATCTGACACCGCATGGGATGTTTCCTTTGCTGATCATCTTATTTTTTCTAATATTCTCTCAGGTAATGTGACCCCGGCACATTATGATGAGCAGCAGAACTTTTTTGCACAGATTAAAGGTCATAAGAGATGCATCCTCTTCCCTCCAGACCAGTTTGAGTGTCTGTATCCTTACCCTGTCCATCACCCCTGTGACCGACAGAGCCAAGTAAGTTGTGTAGATTCACTGGATTATAGAGAAAAAAATGTATTCTTGTCATAGATTAGTTTTAATCTACTCTTTTTTTCTATTTTAACACTATTTATAACATATTTTCTTTGTTTTCATTATGCAAAATTGAAATGAGTCATATTCACATTTCCCCCGTTTCTTATTCGTAGGTTGATTTTGATAACCCAGACTATGAGAAATTCCCAGATTTTAAAAAAGTTGTTGGTTATGAAGCTGTTGTGGGGCCTGGAGATGTTCTGTACATCCCTATGTATTGGTAAGAAGCTCACTATTTTTTTCTATAAAAATCCTGCAACCTTACTGACTTCAAAACTGACTTTTCCACCAGCTGTTTTGCTTCTGTGTGGTCAAACTTTATTTTGCTGCTCTTTGATTTAATTGCTAAACAAGTGAGAAGTTGATTTCTGCAGACTGGACATAAGCTATGAAAACAGATTTTAAACATTCTGTTATCCTTGCTAATTCAACACTGGCTTAAAATACCTTCATATGCTCATACAAGAAGCTCCTCTTTGTTTTTGCAGTAATTGAAATGTGTCTACTTCCTAGGTGGCATCATATTGAATCTTTATTGGACGGAGGAGTGACGATCACTGTGAACTTCTGGTACAAGGTGTGAATATCTGAGTCCCTTCCAACCTCCCTTAAGATTTATTTGGTATCTTTTCCTCTACTTTTTTTCATAATCTTTGTGACTCTTGCTCAGGGAGCTCCCACGCCAAAGAGGATAGAATACCCACTGCGAGCCCACCAGAAGGTTGCCATCATGAGGAATATTGAGAAGATGCTGGGAGAAGCACTTGGAGACCCACAGGAGGTAAAAGCACAGAAAGATGCTGAACACTACTGCTAACGTCTGTGTTCTGTTTGCACATTAATGTCACATTTTCAGTTTCTAGGGCATTAAATAGAGTCTACATTTAGGTCACTTGCTATATGAAAGCTCTGGGGCATGCTGACCCTCTAGGCAACCCAGTTGCTGATAATATACATGGCTTACTTGGTTTAGTACAAGACATACAGTATGCTGCGCAAGACAGAGTAAAATAATGTAGTATGCCTCACTTAATAAAGTTTTTAATGCTGTTTTCTTTTTCTGCAGGTTGGACCTTTACTAAAAACAATGATCAAAGGGAGATATGATCAGGATCTCAGTTAGAGCTCCTGCTTTGTGACTATAAAATGGACTACTCTGGAAACTGCATGTGAAAGTTACATTGCCTTCTATGTGTTTGTGTGATAGAGAGCGATTACTGTGCTTTCTGTCGTTGGAGCTAAGCATCATTGCATGGCAAGAAGAATTTTGCTCCAGTCTCCAAATGCAACCACAACAATTAAAGACGAAACAACCAACTAATTATTGGGATTTCTGGAAACTGATGAAGTTCATCTTTTGTTTTTGGAGAGAAGACCAGTGGGTGGGTTTGTGTCGATCAGTGTTCACTAAACATGGTTTAAACTATTGGCCTTATTGTGAATTGGCACCAATGTTTTTACCACTTACAGATGCACCAAGAGATATGAAGTGTTTATCAAAGATATCGTTTCACTAAAGAAGAAACCATCCAGAGGACCTACTTATTTTTTCTTTTTGATATCAAGTATATCAAATGGATAAAATTTCCTTTAAACAAAGAAAAACAGTTTCAAATTATTTTCCATCTTTATCATAAAAACTGTTTCACAACTCAGCATATTCTACACAGACTGTGCTTTTTGTTATGATGTATAGTCAATACAATTTGATTGGTTCAAAGACAGTCACATCACACAACTACTGTTATAATAAACAGTAATAAATTATCTAATGTATGGATGGGAATAAGGGGACATAGCTGAAAAATATAGTGTACTTTTTTTCCCAATGGTGTGATTGCATTTTTATACACATTTATTGTTTGGTTTGTATTTCAAGGGCTTTTTAAGGATTTGCTGCTAAGTTATCTTGTAACAGCGAAAGGTATCTTGTTGCAACTAAAGTTGCAAATAAAACTTTTCTGTAAGGATTTCAAAGAACCTACAGTGGGTTACATATTTTCTGAGGGAAACTTTTCAGAATACAGCAGTTTTCAGGTCAATAAAATGGTGAGGATCGTTAAAGAGTGTAAAAAGGATTTTAACATCACAAATGATGTGTTTAAATGCTATTAGCTGACTGCTACCATCTGCTGGAATGTAGCTTTGCAAAAGCTATTGCAGTGCAGTAAAATGCACCATCTAGTGGTCAGATGTTTCCTGGTAAGCTTGATCCCTCTTCTCTTTCAGCATGTTGTGTTTAATGCTGCAGATTATAGATATTGTACAGTGTGTTTAAAAATCCTATGTTGAAAAGCCCCTTTAATGACACCTGTAGAATACCTGTTGTCTGGGATGCACTTATTTTTATTTTCTCACAGCGTATAAATGTACAATAAGCCACTATTTTCAACATATTTGACAGATTGCAAGTTTTTTCCCCCACTAGGACAGTGTATATGAACTGTGTTATCCACTTTACATTGTTGGTAGTTTTAATAATGTGGCTGATCGGTGTGTGCGTGTCACACAAACGAGTTGTTACGTGTGTTGTGCTGTATGTGCCAAACCTACACTGACACCAGTAGATAGGAATCTGATTAAATTTGTTGATCACGATCATCTGCATGTGTTTTAGCCATCTGCACATTAGTTAAACGCATGAACATTATCCCTCTTGTGAGCCGGGCAAACAAAGAGCCTAATGACTGTCCATTGTGAGGGACGAGTTATTCCCAGTCCTGCATGTGCATCTGAGTCCGTAACGAGGTTCTCATGCAGGTCTATAAAGCTCGGAACGCCAAACGTTTTAGAAGTGATAAAGCCTCCTCACTGGAGGGCAAAATGCCTTCATCTCAAGAAGAGAAGTCCAGTAGCGTTTAATTTTTTAAACTTTGTTTTCATTATTTATTTAAAAATTAATCAAAAGTTTAATCCGTGTGTAAAACAAAAATCACCCAAATATTCTGTTTCTATAGGATAATTGTTTATTGTATGTGCCTTGCCTGACGTTGGCAGGGCAGTGTAAGTAACACAAGGTTCATTTTTGACTTTTCAATTTTTTTTTTTTTTTTTGGTGAATGTGTTTGTTTTCACTCTGGCATTAAACAGCGTTACAAAAAGGTCTTTATAATGTTTTTTCCCCCTCTTCAAATCCTGTGGTCTTCTTGTGTTGATTAAATTAAATTTTGAACAATTTCAAGTTGAATGTTAAAACCTGATTTTTCTAACACGAGTGGTGTAAGCAACTATCAGGGAAAAAAGACAGCATATAAAGTCGTCTACAAAAAATAGCATTTACTAGAAATTGTGGGTCAGTAGGTTCTCCAAGCCATGAAGTAAAAGTCAGTTATGATGAACTGTATCAGTAACAACACGTTGTCAACACTCATTTGGTTTATACTACAGTCAGGAAAACAATATATCACTTGTTTAAAACTGATTATTACTTTACACCAAATGGATAAAGAACAAACCTTTAAATATTGGTTAAAAAAATCAAAAACTTATCTTAATATACAAACAATAATTATGAACCCACTCATAGTTTCACTACAACCACAAGAAAAAAATAATAAAACGTTTTAGATCCAAGTCAAGTTGAAATCACAATTTTATGCCTATACTAATAAAATCCAACTATCCAAAAATTGTGATGCTTTCCAGAATAAAATGTATACTAACAAAACCAATGAGGAGCAAATCTAGACTTTAAATAGACTACATATTGAAATCTAACTTTGCTTTGCGTAAATATACACTTAAATCGCAGTTGCATCTTTCCCTTAAAAAAAAAAATGCTGTTGGCTTGTGTAGAAAGTGTTTTTATATGTTTGCTCACTGCTGGATTTTGAATTCTTACAAAACTTGTTACAAAATAATCAAATTCTGTAATGCACCAATTTATTTCAGTGGTTAAAAAGTGGTCCAGGCTCCAGCATGTCTGGATTGTTTTAATCAAATTTTCTCTTTGATTATTTGAGACTGAATCTCTTAATTGTGCATGCTTATCAATAAATTCTCACGTTTACAGTCTTGGTAGGGCTTTATGAAGATAAATGCATTAAAAGAAAAGTAGATTTTAATATCTTCCTCACTAGTCATGTTAAAATTGGGAAGCTGGACCACCTTTTCTGTTTAGCTACAGGCAATTCCATATATTGTTTTAATGTGTGAAAATAAACAAGTTTGCTTTATTTGGGGTCCAAACTGAATCTGTCTCAAGTAAAGAGGTTGACAATCAGTTTTGCCTAATTTGTTTCCTTTTCAATTGGGCAACAACTCCACATGTAGACTGATTACCAACGTTTTTGATCTATAAAGAGGAAGTGGATAATAATAAGGTTTGGAGCACAGCAACTGTCTCACCGCCCAGGCTAGAATGAAAATTATCACAGCACTTTAGTCTAAGATATAAAATGGATTGTAATGAAATCTGCGTTTTTGAGACACATAAAAAAAATCTAAATTTGTCATCAACATCTATTTACACAGAGTACAGATTTGTTCACAACTTGGCTTTCATAAATACGGGTCGTCTCTTTTCAGTGTTGAAAAATGCTGTCAATGGGACATCAGACCTGCTGAGGTGGCCAAAAACATTTTGTTACACAAACAAGAACACTGGTTACAACAACCTGACTAAAAAACATCACTCAAAAGTAAAAAAATAAAAATAAAATCAATTTAAGTAAACAGCGTTCCAACTAAAAACAAAAATAATTGTTTCAAGGCATAATGGCAACAACACTTCAAAATAAGCCACCAACACAAGAAGAACGTCCTTATTCAGGAAAAAACAAAAACATAATTTAGGTTAAATGAGCTCCATAAATAAAAAATAAGTGTAAACAATAATAGCATTAGCTGCTCTTACAGTGTTGTGCTCGTCATCAATGAAACCTGTACTTTCGGGCTGGCTTCAGGTTGACGTACGTCTTCTTCATGTCCTCAGACTCGTTTGTCTTCACGAGCTGATATCGCTCTCCTTTTGTGGTTACGACTTGATTGCCATGGTAGCGAACAAGCTTCTTTGGAGCCTGCAAAAAACAAAAACAAAAAAAACAAAACAAAAACAAAACAAAAAAAAAAAACGTTAACATCACATAAAATATTTTTTTTGAATGAAAGTGTGTAAAAACAAATAACCAGAGTCTTACCTCTTTGGGGGCGACAGGTCGATGAGTTTTCTTATCTTCCTCTCTGTCTACCAGCATGTACCTTTTAAGGCAGAACATTATTATTATTATTATTATTATTATTATTATTATTAAGTTGGAATTGATGAGAGTTTTGTTGAAGAGTAACAATGTTAGCCATCACTTACTTCTCGAGTATGCTCTCCTTTAGTTTCTGGTCTGCCAGTGAAGAAATACTCTTCCCATGATTTACCTGAAGCAACAAGACAGCATCAGTTCACCAACGACTCACGTCTATGCACAGTGAGTAATGGTGCGTTCACACAGAATGCGATTTCAGCATCAGGTTTACATACAAAGTCTATGGTGGACACTCTTCAAGCAGCGTCGGGAAATGCTGCGGCGCCTCAAGCGCGATTAGAGCAGCGCGATTTGAACAATTTGAACGATCTGAGCGTTCGACGCGCTGAGGCGCAAATCTCTGAAGTTAGAAAATCTGAACTTTTGCAGCTCGCCGCGCCACATCAACCAATCAGAGAGACTCCACTGTGTGACGTAGCGACGTATTTCCCGACGGGACAGTTTACTGAAAGATGTCCACTGACCTGAAACAGATGGAGAGGAGCTCTTTAGCTGAAATCGAGTGCCTGCAGTCGGTGTCCTGACAGGAGATATCCGCACCACTGCGTGGCAGCGGCTCATCAGACTGGACTCGGGACAAAAATAGTCCTGAAAGCGAGCTGTGAGCCTCTACTCTGAATTATCTGGTGAATTAATTATGAATTAATTATCTGATGAACGTGACATGCTCTTGCTCTCTGTAAATAAAGCAAAGCCACTTCCTCGTCCGACATTAAACAGAGCCTGACAGAGGAGGGAGGGGCGGGGAGGCTGTTGCCGTGCAGCGCTTCAAGAGCTGTCCTGCGTCTGACCTCAAAGTGCACAAGCGACCAACTTCAGCGTTGGCTGCGATTTTGAAGCTGAAATCGCGTTCGGTGTGAACGCAGCATAACACAAAAGCACCAGAGACTCACGTTAAGAGGAGTGGGGCTGAGCTGCACGTCCCCCTCGATGATGAGGCGCACCGCTTCCTCCATGTCTCCTTTGGCAATAGACAAAGCACTGCGAGCCTCTGACAAACTGCACTTTGGAAACATCTCCAGCAGGTGCTGTTCCTGGGACTCCCACTCAGACTCCGACAGCTGAACTCACACACATTTATAGATTTAACTGTGATACCTAACATCTACAGGGAGATGTAAAAGACAAACAGTCCTAATAAAGGAACAACCTTTGCTGTAGCACCCTCTGTTTTAAGGAATTGTGGTTCTTGTCCTGGTGGAGGTGGCAGGCCGGTGAATTTGGATGAAATCTCCTCTCTCCCTGCCTCAGGCACACTGTTTTCTTCATAAGCTGTAAAAAATTTTCAAGTCAATCCAAACAAATAGGGACAGTTTCGTCTAAAGTAAAAATTATTTAGATAAGATTAAACACAAGGAAAACATTTTAATAAAAACAGAGCTACCACCACACTATAAGCATAAGTCAAGGTAAAGAACCTGATGTGCGAGCGGTGGCTAGCTTTGAGGCCAGGCTGAACATCATCTCACAAACTTTGACACTGAAACAGAAAAACAAACTTGCATTAACATCAAACGACACAGTGCTACAGTTCACTGGGCTTACTTACTAATCAAAACAGAGGGTTGTGGTTTCACCTGTCAATTTCAGCAAACCCAGGTATGTAAGCTTCTAGCATTTCTGCAAAGACCTCCACATCAAAATTCTCCTCAACGCTCTGCTGAGAACCCAGGTCCTCCAGGACTCCAGTGATGTAGGACAGAAGAACATCATCCAGAGTGCTGCATTGAATGGCAGAAAAGGTGGTGGTGGGGGAAAATGCTGTATTTTTTCATGCAAACTTGCCGCCAAGCCTTCATTTTTACTCTGCACATAAGCAAATAAGTAAATTATAAATGCTAAAGGTGAGGCACTTACCTGAGATCTGCATCAGGAATATAGGCCTGGATGAATTCGTGCAGAGCACTGTGAATGATTTTATGGAGGTCCATTGCTGTGCTGGAGCACAAACATTCAAAACAAAGTTGAAATGAGTGTCCTGTAAACTTTTAATAACCAAACCTGAACAGCTGTCTATCGTGTACCAAGCTCAGGCCTCACATAACGACGTTAAAAACATTTCTTATATATATAAAAAAGAAATCGCTCATGAACACAGCCTCCAATTGACCTCTCTTGTTGCAGCTGTGCAGCCTCGCTCGCTAGCACACCACGCTAATGCTTTTTTTTAAACTAACTTAACCGATACAGCATGCATCTACACCTATATGAATTGTTGCATTAATCTAAATTCTTCCACGAAATATCTTGTTATTAGCGTTCTTTCATGCATGTGAAGAATAACAGTAACATTATGTAAGAGAAATAATACTAGCAAACTAGCGCTGTTGTTAGCTAAGGCTAATAGTTACCTTAAAGCTAACCTATTCAAGCGACATTTGAGAGTAAAACTCACCGTGATGTAGATTATAGATGCATGAAGCTTTAAAGTCCCCCCTCCCAGATGTGTGAGAGCAGGGAAGGCTAATCCGTTCACACTAGTTCAGGACCGACGGTGCTTGTTGTTAGCCTGCACGATTCAAACGTTATGACGTAATTTCCTCTGAGTGTCAACATCCGGGTCTTGCTTGGTTTGGGTCAAAACACGGTCAAACAGAAGATGATTGGCAGCGTGGTTCTAATATAGGGCGACCCCAAAGTGGAAAAAAAAAAAAAAAAAAAAAAAGAGAAAATAAAACTTTTAAAGGGGCTGATCTATATGAGAAGTAAAGATCCACAAATTAAAATTTCAGCTTCACAATGAATTCAAATGAAGATTCAAAGTCCTTGATGGCAGGCAAAACATTTGGCCTGAGGTGTGTGAATTGTAATTTCACATTTGTTGTGTGATAGTCATTAAGTTGGTTTAACTATATACATGACAACAAACAAACAATTAAACAAACAAACAAACTAACTAACTAACTAACTAACTAACTAACTAACTAACTAACTAACTAACT